CCTGCAGTATATGGCCGGTTTCAAGTTCATGTCGACTAAGACTTTTTGCTCGATGGTACCCATGTAGAAGTTTGCAAACAGGACACCTAGGGGAGAACCCATAGCGACCCCATCTACTTGCTTATACATGTGCCCATCCGGGCTCAAGAAGGGTGCCTCTTTAGTACAAGCTTGGAGTAGTTTCCTCAGAATACTTTCTGGCATGTCAAGAGGAGTACAGGCTGGATCACGATACACTCTGTCGGCTATCATTCCGATTGTCTCGTCCACAGGTACGTTGGTAAACAGCGATTCGTTATCCCTACAGACAAAAATCAGAGGATACAACTGACGATTTACTATAAAACCAGAAAAACGGCCAGCCTACTCATGAGAAACTCTCCAGACACGAAACAGAACGCTTTAAAAGAGACTAACGTCGTCTATGCCTTCAAATGCCCACTTGGGGACTGTAAGCTCCAAAAAACACAGTATATAGGCAAGACAACAACATCTCTTTCTAGGCGTTTAACGATGCATAAACAACAGGGCTCCATTAAGGAACATATAATCTCTTCCCATAACCAAACCATCGCCAGAGAAATCCTAGTAAACAACACAGAAATCATCGATAGATACAGCGATAGCAGGCGGCTAGACGTTTGCGAGGCACTACACATCAAGAAGTCAACACCAGCAATCAACAGCCAATTATTGCACAACTATATTCTACCCACCTCAAGACTCCGCTCCAATATAGAAGCATCAAGAAATATGGACCAATAGGCTTTCTACAAACACTTCTATTCAATACCCATTGTTTCTGTTCTGTCTTGTGTTGATACTTTTAATACCCTATTAATATCCCCTGTTCTGTCTTGTGTTAATGCCACATCATCCTTCCCACCTCACTCAAATGTAGATATAATATCAGAGAGACGTAAGTTCTAATCAGTTGTGTATTTGTGAAGTCTTTGAAAATGTAATAAGTTTTACGAAACGCGCCCGTGTCGCGTCAGACTAGAAATAAAAATGAATTTTGGAGAAGTGATTTTTGATTTACCTCCAACAGTGAAGCGTAATGTACGAAAGATTGAGAAAATTCGTGTTAGAATTATTAATCTTACTTTTTCGGTCATATTTAATAATATATGTCTACAGGAAAGACTGATACCAAAATATACTAATATTAAAGTTCACGACCCAGCAGCAAGGAATCAAGCCTTCACGATAAAATATCGCCAGGATCTGATTCGTGATCAGATATACAAGGCAGAGAATGAAATCAAAGACAACAAAACGCAACTACTTCATGCTACAAACGAGTGGAGAAATAGCAACATCGACCATAGTATCCGTACCCGCATTGAACAACACCTCGACATCCTCACAGACCAACATCACCTCAGCACTGAAACAAGGATTATCAAGAAACTAACAACATTATATGGAGGACCTATGGCAATTCCACGACCAAGAGATGGCTTCCTGAACCTTGCAGGAATTAACCTCACTGAGGACCAAGTCACTCTCCTAAATCTGGGCATAAACTGTCATGTTATGTCCAGACCGAGTGAAATGGCCCGGAAAGTAGAGTTGGAAATTCTGTTGGACGACATATTCGACCTCGAGACACAAAAGAAGGTCACTACCAAAGATACCTTACAAGCAGAACTTATTGCAGAAGGAGGAAAGAATCGAGGCAACTACAGAAGCACCATACTGTCCCCCGAGCTTAAAGCGGCAGCTAAAAGCCTTCGTGAGAACAAGGAGATAGTTGTCAGGAGAGGTGACAAGTCGCCAATATATGTCATTCTTAAAAAAGACGAATATCTGGCGAAAATGAACATCATACTCTCTGACCAAACTAAGTTCCAAAGGGTAACGAAGGACACTACAGCCGAATTAAAAGCAAAGGTCAACAAACTGATCGAAACTGTGAACGCCAAGAAATCCGGACTCCACCTGCCAAAGATCATTGGGGAATATAAACCTGGATATGCGTATGGAAATGTCAAGACGCACAAGCCTGGAAACCCACTTCGGCCAATCATTAGCCAGATACCCACACCCACGTACAGACTGGCGAAGCGACTCAACGGCCTGCTGACTCCTTATGTTCCTTGCGCCTTCAGCCTGAAGTCTCCAAAGGAATTTGTGGACTTACTGCGGGGCACACGGGCCACAGGGATAAGAACCTCGTTGGACGTAGAATCGCTGTTTACCAACGTACCTGTGGACGAGACAATCGGAATGATAGCCGACAGAGTGTATCGTGATCCAGCCTGTACTCCTCTTGACATGCCAGAAAGTATTCTGAGGAAACTACTCCAAGCTTGTACTAAAGAGGCACCCTTCTTGAGCCCGGATGGGCACATGTATAAGCAAGTAGATGGGGTCGCCATGGGTTCTCCCCTAGGTGTCCTGTTTGCAAACTTCTACATGGGTACCATCGAGCAAAAAGTCTTAGTCGACATGAACTTGAAACCGGCCATATACTGCAGGTATGTTGACGACATTTTTACACAGGTACCTGATGTCAGACATCTGCAGGAGCTGAAGGAGGCATTTGAGCAGAGTTCCGTGCTGCGTTTCACTTACGAGACAGAAAAGGATGGGAAGCTGCCTTTTCTAGATGTAACAGTCATGGAAAAGGGCGGAGGTTTCCACACTGCAGTCTACACTAAGGAAACAAACATAGGAATGTGCCTAAATGCCAACAGCGACTGCCCCGACAGGTACAAGAGGAGTGTTGTTAACGCATACGTCGACCATGCTCTCAGCCACAGCTCAGAATGGAAGCAAGTCGACGAAGAACTCTGTAGGGTAAGGCAGGTTCTAGTCAATAACGGCTTCTCCAATGGTTTCATCGAAGACATCATAAGAAGGAAAGTGAAAAGCCATGCAACCTCTGAAGAGACAACTAACACAACACCTATACCCCCTATTAGACTATTTTACAGGAACTTCTTTTCCACAGCTCATAAAACGGAGGAAAGGGTCCTGAAAGATATTGTTAATAGAAACGTTATCCCTACAGACAAAAATCAGAGGATACAACTGACGATTTACTATAAAACCAGAAAAACGGCCAGCCTACTCATGAGAAACTCTCCAGACACAAAACAGAACGCTTTAAAAGAGACTAACGTCGTCTATGCCTTCAAATGCCCACTTGGGGACTGTAAGCTCCAAAAAACCCAGTATATAGGCAAGACAACAACATCTCTTTCTAGGCGTTTAACGATGCATAAGCAACAGGGCTCCATTAAGGAACATATAATCTCTTCCCATAACCAAACCATCGCCAGAGAAATCCTAGTAAACAACACAGAAATCATCGATAGATACAGCGATAGCAGGCGGCTTGACGTTTGCGAGGCACTACACATCAAGAAGTCAACACCAGCAATCAACAGCCAATTATTGCACAACTATATTCTACCCACCTCAAGACTCCGCTCCAATATAGAAGCATCAAGAAATATGGACCAATAGGCTTTCTACAAACACTTCTATTCAATACCCATTGTTTCTGTTCTGTCTTGTGTTGATACTTTTAATACCCTATTAATATCCCCTGTTCTGTCTTGTGTTAATGCCACATCATCCTTCCCACCTCACTCAAATGTAGATATAATATCAGAGAGACGTAAGTTCTAATCAGTTGTGTATTTGTGAAGTCTTTGAAAATGTAATAAGTTTTACGAAACGCGCCCGTGTCGCGTCAGACTAGAAATAAAAATGAATTTTGGAGAAGTGATTTTTGATTTACCTCCAACAGTGAAGCGTAATGTACGAAAGATTGAGAAAATTCGTGTTAGAATTATTAATCTTACTTTTTCGGTCATATTTAATAATATATATATATATATATATATATATATATATATATATATATATATATATATATATATATATATATATATATATATATATATATATATATATATATATATATATATATATATATATATATATATATATATATATATATATCCAGGATGAGAAATTGTAAATTTTACTCTTTTTTGATGCAGAACTGTTGCGAACCTCAAGATAACAACTCAAGAAGATAACCTAACAACAATTCAACTAGCAACAACAATTATTTTAGCCGTAACAATTACTCTATCAGCAACAAAGACTCAAAAAGGCTTATACGGTCCTGTGACAAATAGGGCATTTACGTGTATAATATGTAAATGGAAGTCTGCACAAAATGTAAATATTCCTCAGTGTTTACGTACTAAACTTTCACCTTACTTGGGTGTCGAGAGCTTAATGAAAATCAGGAGTTAGTACCAAGTTTGTTCTTGACGGATATTAAGAACATTTGTTCATTAAGAACATAACAAAAATAACGGAAGCTGCAGATGACCTATATTGGTTTTAACCAAACTGTTCCTATATCAAGCGAACAATCAAGCGAACCCATGTCCGTTATCCGGTAAATTTTGTTTCGTGAATCTACAACTCTCTTTCCAAACCAGTATTTACCCAGGTCTTTCCTGAATGTTAAATAAGTCCAGTTTATATCCTTAACATGATGTATCTTTGGCAATATATTGTGGCTGTTCGATGGGATCGAACCCATGTCCCTGGACCCCCCAGGTGTATACACACACACACACACACACACACACACACACACATACACACACACACACACACACACACACACACACACACACACACACACACACACACACACACACACACACACACACACACACACACACACACACACACTGGTGTATATACGTGTATATAGATTCAGAACCTGTTTATTTATGTATAACAATGAAGAGTAGAAATAGACAGTAGAATAGACAGATAAATAGAGTAGAATAGACAGATATAGAGTAGAATAGACAGATATAGAGTAGAATAGACAGATAACTGGACATTCAACACACAGACCACAGACCCTGTGTATGTGTGACACACAGATACACAGGTGTAGGAGAGGTGAATAGAAGCAACAGGAGATATTATAACCACTTGCTCTCTGTTTACAGACTTGGTCCACGGCTCCCGCTTCTCACTGGGCTCCCGGGACCGTATCGCAGATACCTTGGATGCTTCTATTCAGGTCAGTACTACCCGCGCTGGTTCGCATCCCCCGCCGCCTGTACGGGGGCCGGCTAGTGTTCCTACTAGAGAGGTCCACCGATGCGACGGCGGGATGGCAATGTTCGTATTAGAGAGGTTCATCGATGTGATGAGGGGGAAGGCAATGTTCGGATTAGAGGGGTTCACCGCCCCACCTCACACAAAAATGGAGATTGATGGCTATAATTTCCGAACAACTAGATTTCTGAGGGACGGAATAGAGGGGACGAGGCGTAAAACGCAATGGGGAGGTGCGAAGATGGGGGAGGGGATAGGGAGGGAGAGAGAGAGAGAGAGAGAGAGAGAGAGAGAGAGAGAGAGAGAGAGAGAGAGAGAGAGAGAGAGAGAGGGGTCATTTCTGCCGGACATTTTCCTTCCAACTTCTCCACCTTTCCCAGCTCCCTCCCCCATTCTCCACCCCTTCCATCACCCCCCCCCTCCTCACCCTCAGTTGCGAAGAGACAGACATGCGCGCGCACGCATCGTTTACTTGTATAAATTGGTGCGCTCAACAATACTCAGGGAGGGAATAGTGCGTCACGTAATCGCCAGTCACAAGTCGGGGCCCAGAAGCTGGAGCTCGACAAAAACAACTAGACGAGTCCAGCAACATTTCACAAGTCGTCACACACACACCAAGAGTTTAATGATCATTGTAACTAAAGATTAAGACCCACAAACTGCTGTGAGATAAATTACAGGAATGATGGGCCAAATGGCTACTGACAAATGGGTTTTATTACAATAAAACCCATTTTGGTCCCCTGACACATGTGTGACACCAGGATAATTCTTGAAGTAAAGGTCCTGAAATACATGGCAACGATTTAAGAAAACTGAATCTCACATTCAGAAGTCGACAAAGTGGGAATATGATCACAACATACAGGATACTCAAGGATATCAACATGTGCCCCTTCCAAAAGTAACTTAAAGCAGTAGATAAAGGAAAAATAATTACTCGCCAACTGATAAATGACAAGATAGGAATAAGGAACTATGCTAAATAGCTTCAGTGTCTACCGGTTAAGGCCTAACCAACCTTCCGAATGCAAAAACATTATACAAGATTGGTTATGAAATATACAATGGATCATTTAGGTTAATAATTAAGACATTTTAACATTAGAACATCAAATAGGACACCGGGCCCAAATGAGGCGTTCAGTACAGTGTTGAAGGAGCACAGGGGACTGTAACCTCTACATCATGGAGGGTGAGTGAGAGAGAAAGCGACGGAATGTGAGAGAAAAGGCAACGGAGTGAGAGAGAAAGCGTCGGAGTGAGAGAGAAAGCTACGGAGTGAGAGAGAAAGCTACGGAGTGAGAGAGAAAGCGACGGAGTGAGAGAGAAAGCGACGGAGTGAGAGAGAAAGCGACGGAATGTTAGAGAAAGCGACGGAGTGAGAGAGAAAGCGACGGAATGTTAGAGAAAGCGACGGAGTGTGAGAGAAAGCGACGGAGTGAGAGAGAAAGCGACGGAGTGAGAGAGAAAGCGACGGAGTGAGAGAGAAAGCGACGGAGTGAGAGAGAAAGCGACGGAGTGAGAGAGAAAGCGACGGAGTGAGAGAGAAAGCGACGGAGTGTGAGAAAGAGCGGATAATAATAATAAAGTGTAAGCAAACGAACTCTTACCCCATTATACGACCAAATATAACTACCCAACAACCTAACATTAGGTCGTTATAGATGCCGCCCGGCATGACCCAGCGTGACCTCCTCCACTTGACCTGTCTCTGTGACCTCTCAAGTGCACTCAACCTCTTGGGCTCGACGGTAGAGCGACGGTCTCGCTTCGTGCGGGTCGGCGTTCAATCGCCGACTGTCCAAGTGGTTGAGCACCATTCCTTCCCGCCCGTCCCGTCTCAAATCCTTATCCTGACCCCTTCCAAGTGGTCCGTAGAATTACCCAAAGCCACCACAAGCTACCCAAAGCCACCACAAGCTACCCAAAGCCACCACGAGCTACCCAAAGCCACCACAAGCTACCCAAAGCCACCACAAGCTACCCAAAGCCACCACGAGCTACCCAAAGCCACCACTAGCTACCCAAAGCCACCACAAGCTACCCAAAGCCACCACAAGCTACCCAAAGCCACCACGAGCTACCCAAAGCCACCACAAACTACCCAAAGCCACTACAAGCTACCCAAAGCCACTACAAGCTACCCAAAGCCACCACAAGCTACCCAAAGCCACCACAAACTACCCAAAGCCACTACAAGCTACCCAAAGCCACCACCAGCTACCCAAAGCCACCACGAGCTACCCAAAGCCACCACAAACTACCCAAAGCCACTACAAGCTACCCAAAGCCACTACAAGCTACCCAAAGCCACTACAAGCTACCCAAAGCCACCACAAGCTACCCAAAGCCACCACAAACTACCCAAAGCCACTACAAGCTACCCAAAGCCACTACAAGCTACCCAAAGCCACTACAAGCTACCCAAAGCCACCACAAGCTACCCAAAGCCACCACAAGCTACCCAAAGCCACCACAAACTACCCAAAGCCACTACAAGCTACCCAAAGCCACCACAAGCTACCCAAAGCCACCACAAACTACCCAAAGCCACTACAAGCTACCCAAAGCCACTACAAGCTACCCAAAGCCACCACAAGCTACCCAAAGCCACCACAAACTACCCAAAGCCACTACAAGCTACCCAAAGCCACCACAAGCTACCCAAAGCCACCACAAACTACCCAAAGCCACTACAAGCTACCCAAAGCCACTACAAGCTACCCAAAGCCACCACAAGCTACCCAAAGCCACCACAAGCTACCCAAAGCCACCACAAACTACCCATAATATATTATAAACAAAAGTCAACTTGAGCCAAACACTTCAAAAGCCCTTAAAAAAAAGCAACAGGTGAGGGCGACTGTCCCTCAAGACAGCTCCTCCCAGCGGAGGTCGACCTCAAAGACTCATTCCTCAAGGTTGACGTAAGGAAAACACTAAATAACACAGAGACACACAATTCCTGTAGCCATATTGTTTAGTTCTCAGCTGATCTTGACCGCCGCCACGTCCTCCTTGACCTCCACAGGTCGACCTGGCCGGGGACGTGATCACGTATGACTCCGACGACGAGGGTGACACACCGACGAGGATGTCTGGGCGGCGACGGGGCGGCGCGGGCGGCGTGGGCGGCGCGGGCGGCGAGGCCAGCGGCGTGGGCGTGGCCAGAAACAAGCGGGGCACGCCCATGTACTCCCGCGAGGACATCAGGGAGCAGTACTGCATCAACGACAAGGAGCTCCACGCCCTCGAAGCCACCAAGCGCAAGCCTATCTTCGGCTGTCTCACCTCCGGGAACACGCAGGTGAGTGTCCTTAGGTGTTTACAGGTGTTCACAGGTGTTCACGGGTGTTCCAAGTGTTCACAGGTGTCCAAGATCTTCACAGATGTCCAAGGTGTTCACAGGTGTCCAAGGTGTTCACAGGTGTAGAGGACGGTATCAAGTATCGAAGGCTTTCACAATCTACTCTGCTTTCCATGCGGAGTAGATTACAGATTTACACTGTTATCACGGCACGTCGCGAGAACTACTTATTGCGAGCACAATTTATTCTCCCAAAAAATGAACAGTACCTGAAGTCATGTCTCCGAGGCACAAGACATGTGCAGGGGGCATGGGACACCTGCCAGAGGCCGGTGTACAGATGTGCTGCTCTCTCTCTCCCTCTGCATAAAGGCGCGTCCGAAAATGCTTTTAGGGGGCTTTTATGACTTTCCAGTTTATGGGGTAATTTTGGTGTTTTATGCGGGCATGCCAACTGGGGCGGCCTGCCAGGCTGGGGGGGCCTGGGCCAGGCTAGGGGGCCTGGGCCAGGCTGGGGGCCTGGGCCAGGCTGGGGGGCCTGGGCCAGGCTGGGGGGCCTGGGCCAGGCTGGGGCGGACTGCGCCAGGCTAGGGGACCTGGGCCAGGCTGGGGGCCTGGGCCAGGCTAGGGGGCCCCTAACAGGAGGTCTGGGCTGTGTCCTGGAGGGCCTCGTACAAAGTCATGTGTCATGACACTTGAGGTCATGTATCACGGCACTTGAGGTCATGTGTCACGAACATGTGAAATGGAACACGTAATTTTCAATTAAAATTCTAGTTCGTGGTCGAGCAAATGTAAATTCTGCATCTATACTCGGGAAGCCGCAAGCGGTGAGGGACACCCCGCAGCCGCAAGCGGTAAGGGACACCCCCACAGCCGCAAGCGGTAAGGGACACCCCCACAGCCGCAAGCGGTAAGGGACACCCCCACAGTCGCAAGCGGTAAGGGACACCCCCACAGCCGCAAGCGGTAAGGGACACCCCCACAGTCGCAAGCGGCAAGGGACACCCCCACAGCCGCAAGCGGTAAGGGACACCCCCACAGCCGCAAGCGGTAAGGGACACCCCCACAGCCGCAAGCGGTAAGGGACACCCCCACAGTCGCAAGCGGTAAGGGACACCCCCACAGCCGCAAGCGGAGAGGCGACAAACAATATTTACACAAAGACTCGGTCTTCCTCACCCCCCTCCCCCCACCTACTACAATCTGTGTACATCTTCCACTCTTACTCTCGCTCTTAATCTTCCCCTCTTCTTCCCTCTCCCTCACAGCCGTGCAGTGTCTCTTCCACTGTTCTTCATTGTTCTCCTTCGTCCGTTTGTTCCTTGTTCTTCAACTGTACCTTCTCCCTCACGACGGAGCCCGTTTTGTCTTCCATCTCCTCCTTCACATCCTGTTTTGTCTTCTACTTTATCTCCTCTATATTCTCTTCCCTCTATCTTATTCCCCACCTCTACTCTAATTCATTATTTCATTATTCTCTCTCTCTTTTAATCTTCTACTCGAAGGCTCCCACAACCTGTTTAAGTTAGACAAGTGAGACAAGTTGGTCCTCTTCAACTCAGAGAGAGAGAGAGAGAGAGAGAGAGAGAGAGAGAGAGAGAGAGAGAGAGAGAGATGAGAGAGAGAGAGAGAGAGAGAGAGGAGAGAGAGAGAGAGAGAGAGAGAGAGAGAGCTGGATGCTGATCCAGTCATCTACCTGCTGAATGATCTTGGCTTCCTGCTTGCTACAACCTCACTATCAGACCATAATAATAATAAATAACCACTATCTCATTCAGAGGTAATATGATGAACTCTTATAAGTCTCTCAGCTGGGAAAAGTCTGGTATCTCTGATACTCGATAGCTCAGGTGCTTCCTCGGCTCGTGTCATAACTAATTTACATACAAGTAGAGTTAGTTACAAGGGCCTATGAGATATTTTGGCTCATCAGACTACCTGACTGCCGTAACTAAACTGCCTATCACGACAGAACGGAGCGAAGACTTTCACAAGCTGGCAATGGGACAGGACGAACTCCCTCCAATTAGAGGGAGCACCTGAATGGAATCCCTTGTTCCAGTGTGACGTTATCTTGAGATGGTTATCTTGAGATGGTTATCTTGAGATGATTTCGGGGGCTTTAGTGTCCCCGCAGCCCGGTCCTCGACCAGGCCTCCACCCCCAGGAAGCAGCCCGTTACAGCTGACTAACACCCAGGTGCCTATTTTACTGCTAGGTAACAGGGGCATAGGGTGAAAGAAACTCTGCCCATTGTTTCTCGCCGGCTGGGATCGAACCCAGGACCACAGGATCACAAGTACAGCGTGCTGTCCGCTCGGCCGACCGGCTTCCCAACAGCCTATAGACGTGAACAGCCTATAGAAATCTTCGCAAATAATAGCCTTCGACAGCCAAACCGTGTCAAACATCGACACCCAAATTGTGTCAAACATCGACACCCAAATTGTGTCAAACATCGACAGCCAAATTGTGTCAAACATCGACACCCAAATTGTGTCAAACATCGACAGCCAAATTGTGTCAAACATCGACACCCAAATTGTGTCAAACATCGACAGCCAAATTGTGTCAAACATCGACACCCAAATTGTGTCAAACATCGACAGCCAAAACCACGGTTGGTCGAATGGCTTAGTCACATTCCTAGAGCAAACACATCCCTCACTGGCAGTATGTGACTAACCCATTCGACCAATCGTGGTTTTGGCTGTCGATGTTTGACACAATTTGGCTGTCGATGTTTGCCACGGTTTGACTGTCGACGTCGGGTGGGAGCTGAGGCCCAAGCAAGGCCTGTAGGAAATATAAAACACATGAACACCAACTCACAACATGAACATTCATAGAGGAACTTGTCTTAAAATGAAAGAAGTTAATTAACAAAGTTTGTTATCTCCCGATGATAACCAAAAATATGAAGGAAAGTTGAATCATGAAAAGTTGGATCCAAAGTCTAGCTGAAGAGGAGGAATTAGAGGGATGGAGTGAGGCACCAGGAAGTGAACATTACCCAGGAAGCAGCTAAGACGGCTACTGGGAGGTAGAGAAGAATATCAGAGACAAAAATAAAAGTAAAAAATGCCGTTAGCTTAGGCTAACGAAGCACCTTTCCAAAGGAGCAAGTAGGAGTCATTATAGAGAGCCATACACACAAGTTCTCCGATTAGGAGTCAACGTAGTTAAACCTGTGTACATGAATGCAGGTGTAGTTGCAAATAGAAGGGTATAAGAAGTAGTAGTTACCGGGACAGGTGGCAGAAGTACAACCACACATTATTGCAATATTAGAAACGAAATTATAATATTATATAAAATGGGATTTTCACAGGATATTAAGTAACGAGATATATATTTCATTAGACTTGACTACTTCTCCATAGTCATTCTTAAGTACACCACACACACACACACACACACACACACACACACACACACACACACACACACACACACACACACACACACACACACACACACACACACACACAATAATAGTATACAGTTGGTTAGAGAGCGTTCGCTGGCTGGTGGACGATGGCGTGACGGTGAAATATTTACTTCTGGGTGTAAACATAGCATCATTTACCTGGGCGGAGAGGAGCGGTGAGCGTAGCGGGCGGGAGCGGAGCTCTCCTGGTGTCTCCTACCTTCTCTCAACAACCATTAAGAGGGTAGTAAAGACCAGTGTGTGTGTGTTCCTGTGGGAGGCTGCAGTAAAGTGCTTCTGATGCTGGCCCTGCTGCTGCTGTTGCTGCTCCGTCTGCTGCCTGCCCTTTTGTTGCTCCTGCTGTCTCTGCTGGCTCTCCTGAAAAGCTGGCTATTTTAGTGTACCCGGTATTAGGTATACTTTAATTGTTGGTTTCTGTCTACACACACATATATATATATATATATAAACCTCTCCCCTCACCTCTCCCCGGCAGCCGTCACCATGCAAGAAGAAGAGTCTGCTCCCCGCGTGTCTGCGCGGGCGTGTGCCCTCCGACGAGAACGTGTACGTCAAGACGCACTCCGCCCACACCTCGCCCGCCCACCGCCGCACCCAGCAGCAGCAGCAGCAGCAACAGCAGGAGGAGATTGACTACGACGACGAGAACTACTTCAAGCGACGACCTCAGACGATCTGCTACACCGACCCTCGGAGGCTAGCCTCCCTCGACGACACCCTCTCTAGGGTGAGTGTGAGGGAGGGTGAGGGTGAGGGAGGGTGTGGGGGGAGGGGAGGGGGGGAGGTGAGGGAGGGAGGGGAATATGGGTGTTGGTTCATAGCCACTTTGTAATTCTTGTCTCATAATATTTAGCTAATATTAATAATAATAATAATAATATATTATACTCCCTGACTTTACCATCACCAACAATGCCCCTCTCTCATTGTAATGCTTCTCTACAATCATCATTCAAATGGTATCAAATATAACTGACTAGTTAATAATTGCTCACACGTAATAACCTATTCAACATTTGCTCCTAAATAAAATAAATTCATGTTTAAATTATATTTTTAATATATTCCAACTGTCGTCGTTTTGTGTATGGACGAGAAGTCACCCCTCTGTATAAACTTAAACCCTCCCCCTATACATCACGCCATTGTACTCAAACTGACAATATTTTCTATATGCTCTCTCTCCACCACCTGCCTGGTGCTCCTCCTCGTGCCGCTGCTCCCCACAGAGTGGCCGAGCCCCACGGCCCAGATCCGAGGTCCCCAACAGCGCGTACGACACCTACATCGCGGCGGACGATGCCGAGGCGGACGCTGCCAGACGGCCGACGCAGCTGGTCCTCACCTCGGGCGAGTATCACTCGGCCGAGACCTTCCCTGAGGACAACACCAGGGAAGGTAAATGGTCCTCAGCTGTTCAGGGGTCACTTGATCCACCCCCTTGTTTATTCCCTAATCCACCTTTGTTTACTCCCTAATCCACTTAACCGGCAAACTTGGACGTTTAACTTTCTCTGGGAGTGGTGGGTGCGCGGGAAGTTTGCTCGTTCTAACACTAAGACTTGTACAAGTTTATCTCAGTTGATCTCTCTCTCTTCTCTCTCTCTCTCTCTCTCTCTCTCTCTCTCTCTCTCTCTCTCTCTCTCTCTCTCTCTCTCTCTCTCTCTCTCTCTCTTCTCTCTCTCTCGCTCTCTCTCGCTCTCTCTCGCTCTCTCTCTCTCTCTCTCTCTACTCTCTCTCTCTCTCTCTCTCTCTCTCTCTCTCTCTCTCTCTCTCTCTCCTCTCTCTCTCTCTCTCTCTCTTTCACACACACACACACACACACACACACACACACACACACACAAAAGAGAGAGGGGCCTCCAGGCTGTTGATGGAGGGGGTTAAGAGTGGATATATCAAGAGAATGTAAGGGATAAATGAGAGGGTGAGGGAGTAGCTCGGGAAGAAGAACAAGGCGAAGCCAGTGCATCTTAGAGCAACACGGACACAATTTTCAGTAACATAAAGTGTAATGAATTTAAAGGCTACATAAACTCGTTTAATAGGCAGGGCCCATGAGTTGAGGCCCGATAGTATGAACTTTTCCAGGTAAGCACACACACACACACACACTGATCCGGATTCGATTTACAGCACTGACAGAAACAATTGGACAGAGATTCTATCACCTGATGCCTCTGTACACCTAGCAATAAATAGGTACCTGGAGGCTTGACAGCTGCTGTGGGCTACATGCTGTGTGCGTCAACACTCACACAGTTGATTGACAGTTGAGAGGCGGGACCAAAGAGCCAGAGCTCAAACCCCTCCCCCCCCACAAAACAGACGATCACACAGTGTTTGAACTAAAGCTATGGCTCCATAAACACAGCACAGTGGTGTGTGTGTGTGTGTGTACACTCACACACACACATGTACACATGACAAAAATATAACCGCGATTTATATTCAGTGTTGAAAATATTAGTGGGTAAGGAACACACACATTCAATATAATGAATTTTGAGAGCTGTGAAAAAAAAAAAAAAAAAAAACTTTTGAAAAAACCTATCCAGATTTTTGGTCCATAAGTATATAATAATTTTTTTGCAAACGATAAATTCGTTAATTATAAATAAAATGCTACAAGAGATAGTAGATAATTTAAAGTTTGAATAATAATAAAAATAATATAAGTATTAATCTGGAGTCAGTACGTAGTATTAATAATAATTTTATTTATAAAATATACTTAAAATATTACATTGGTTAATTAGTAGGTACAGAAAATGTTGTTTAATGCCACTAATGAAGGGGTAACTCGTTTGAAACTCGGGAATCTTGTATTTTGTGAGAGATATAGTGGTTTCGATCGTCTGTGCCAGAGGCACTTAATATATATATACCATGGAAGCAGTGCGGAAATCGGGCAGGAGTTTCCAGTCTCCATCTCGCCCTCGTCCAGTGTCATGTTTGTCAACATGACCATTACGAAATGTTGCAGGAGTAGGCATGATAGGAAGAACGGGAGCAATTATAATAGATATCTGAAGAGCGGGGCCCAGGAGGCGAAGCTCCCTATGCACCTATGTGTGAGTGCAAGTTTATGAGTGTGGGAAGCACATGAACAATAGGGCACACACACACACACACACACCACACACACACACATACACACACACACATACACATACACACACACACACACACAAACACACACACACACACACACACACATACACACACACACACACCACACACAACACACACACACACACACACACACACACACACACACACACACACACACACACACACACACACACACACACTCACACACTCACACACACAATTTGCCTACAAAATGTGCTAAAAAATGTTTTCAAAAAAGGTTTTCAGTGTCAGGGTAGTGAAGAGGTGCAGTGTGTTAAGAGGTGGCCAGCCACACAGGTCCCCAAGTAGATAGGTCGGGAGGGCAAGAATCAGACGATCCATATAACAATGCTGGGTCCCAGAGCTAAGGCACGATCTTACACACACACACAGTTGGGTGAACGGGGAATGAGGGAGAGTACTCAAGCCATCAAGCCATTAAGTCTCAACTCTTAAGCCATCGCTATGGTAATCAACGTACCGTATAATACGTGCTATGAAAAGATGCGGCTTACTAACCTCCTCTCGTTTTCTTTGCTAGGGTGGGTAGGTTAGGTTAGGGCGTTGGATTTTACGGGTTGTACACACACACACACACACACACACACACACACACACACACACACACACACACACACACACACACACATGCCAAACGGGTCCCGTTGTGTCCAGTTATGTGTTCAGAAATTGCAAATATGTGGGAAAAGTTAACAACTTTTTTTTTGGGTTTCAGGAACTAGAACAAAAATTATATTTACACAAATTGTTACAAATGTGTTTTGTTGAACGTATTGATTGAATTGAATGACATTGTCCTGCATAGTTGCACGGTGCAATGTATTCATGTATGATGCACCTAGCAGTTACCTAGGTACTTCTGTTACCTAGCAGTAAAATAGGTACCTGGGTGTTAGTCAGCTGTCACGGGCTGCTTCCTGGGGGTGGAGGCCTGGTCGAGGACCGGGCCGCGGGGACACTAAAAAAGCCCCGAAATCATCTCAAGATAACCGTGTATAGTCTTGATACACAGGTAATATACACACACACTTCTCATTCTCATCATTATGTATAGCATTGTGGTGCTAATCATTGTGACGTAATGTTGCCAAAGTTGACCTCCTTGGGGTTGCTTTACATTGTAATATGGTTTAGTCACCATCTTGAGGTTATCTTGTGGTGATTTCGGGGCTTTTAGTGTCCCCGCGGCCCGGTCCTCGACCAGGCCTCCACCCCCCCAGGAAGCAGTCCGTGACAGCTGACTAACACCCAGGTACCTATTTTACTGCTAGGTAACAGGGGGCATAGGGTGAAAGAAACTCTGCCCATTGTTTCTCGCCGGCGCCTGGGATCGACCCCAGGACCACAGGATCACAAGACCAGCGTGCTGTCCGCTCGGCCGACCGGTTCCCATTAAGAGTCCGACCATTAAGAGTCCGACCATTAAGAGTCCGACCATTAAGAGTCCGACCATTAAGAGTCCGACCATTAAGAGTTCGACCATTAAGAGTCCGACCATTAAGAGTCCGACCATTAAGAGCTCGAGGCGCTATGTTGCAGCCTTCAATGTTGTCGTTTTTTATGCAATGATTTTTTTGTCCGTTTTCTTATTTTGTAATTGCCGAAGAATTGTACTTGTAAATTTCTTAAAGTTAGAGTATATTACAAAAGAATGTGTAGAGTGTCTAGTGTACAATATATTGGAGCCTGTGGAGTATACTAATGTAGGGTACTGGAGTCTCTGGAGTATACTAATGTAGGGTACTGGAGTCTCTGGAGTATACTAATGTGTAGGGTATTGGAGTCTCTGGAGTATACTAATGTAGGGTATTGGAGTCTCTGGAGTATACTAATGTGTAGGGTACTGGAGCCTCTGGAGTATACTAATGTAGGGTACTGGAGTCTCTGGAGTATACTAATGTGTAGGGTATTGGAGCCTCTGGAGTATACTAATGTAGGGTACTGGAGTCTCTGGAGTATACTAATGTAGGGTACTGGAGTCTCTGGAGTATACTAATGTAGGGTACTGGAGTCTCTGGAGTATACTAATGTAGGGTACTGGAGTCTCTGGAGTATACTAATGTGTAGGGTATTGGAGTCTCTGGAGTATACTAATGTGTAGGGTACTGGAGCCTCTGGAGTATACTAATGTAGGGTACTGGAGTCTCTGGAGTATACTAATGTGTAGGGTATTGGAGTCTCTGGAGTATACTAATGTGTAGGGTATTGGAGTCTCTGGAGTATACTAATGTGTAGGGTATTGGAGCCTCTGGAGTATACTAATGTAGGGTACTGGAGACTCTGGAGTATACTAATGTAGGGTACTGGAGACTCTGGAGTATACTAATGTAGGGTACTGGAGACTCTGGAGTATACTAATGTAGGGTACTGGAGTCTCTGGGTATACTAATGTAGAGTACTAGAGTCTCTGGAGTATACTAATGTAGAGTACTGGAGCCTCTGGAGTATACTAATATGTAGAGTACTGGAGCCTCTAGGTATACTAATGTAGAGTACTAGAGTCTCTGGGTATACTAATATGTAGAGTACTGGACTGTGACTTACGGTAATATGTGACGCAGGATACACGTTGCGGCGGACGGCCTACACCCAGCCCAACACGCCCGACCTGAGCCACTCTCTGCGCTTCAGGCAGGTCACCACGCCGGAGGTCTTCCTCGACGACCGGCCGCAGAAACACGTCAGCTTCCAGAAGGCCATGAGGTGTGTTCTTCTTATTAGTTCCTCTAGCACGGGCTCACCATAGCCCGTGCTACATGAACACTTCGTTCTGAGTAGCTTAATCTAAGACAACAACAACAACAGTTCCTCTACATAGCGACCTTCTAAGATGCTGTGTTCCTACTAGTAGTTTTAGTAGTACTGGTAGGCAGTCTCGGGAGACTATGGGGTTGTGCTCTGGTTGTTGAGGCTGGAATGGCCTCGTTAGTGTAGTTTAACAACTACTGGTAGTAGTTAAACCAGTGTGAGCTCAGGGAGGTGGGGGGTATACACTCATGAGAATGGATTGAGAACGACTACATAATTCAGTGCTATTACCTACTCTCTAGCCATGGCTAGGTTAGGGTTAAGGGTTACTTTTGGTTAAGGTTTGATTAGGTTAGATTAGGGTACGTTTCATTACGAATGGTTGCATTAAATACAGTGTATTATTGATGATATTGAGAAATATCGTATGTAAATTTCTCTAATGGTAATATTATTATGGATGTATTGCTACGTCACTAGGTAAGTCTGTTACTAAACTATTACCTAAGCTACTAATAAATATACAGTTAGAGCTAATAATTGGCATATTCATACTCTTTCTAAAATAACAGTTACTATCACTAATATTACTGTTTATAACGCCAGTGCTACTCTGACCTCTGCTACTTGTACTTATAGACGCCCTCCCTCTAAAATGGTCTATATTTCTAGTAACACTGCTGGCATATCCTTGTTCATTTAATATTCATACCGGTACTTTAGACTACTACTGTTAATATGTTGTTTAAGATTCAGCTACTCAGAACAACAAGTTCCAAGTAGCACGGGCTATGGTGAGCCCGTAGTGGACTTACCTGGCACAGGAGCGGGGCTGTGTACTATTAATAATATTGGGACCTTAGCTATATTTGAAAAGAGGGGAAGACAAGTGGGAAGAGTATGAAGAGAGAGAGAGCGGGGAGACAGATAGAGAGAGAGAGAGAGAGAGAGAGAGAGAGAGAGAGAGAGAGAGAGAGAGAGAGAGAGAGAGAGAGAGAGAGAGAGAGAGAGAGACAGACAGACAGACAGACAGACAGACAGACAGACAGACAGACAGACAGACAGACAGACAGACAGACAGACAGACAGACAGACAGACAGGAGATGAAAGAAAAGGGGGGGATCTAAGACTGGTCATTACTTCACAGTCTCCCTTCAAGAATAAGGTCCTGAGAATACTTATGGCTTTCAATTAAGGTTGGATAATTAATCGTTCATTTTTCATCTTGGAGATGATGTGATCATTTAGCTTTTTAATGATGGCATGCTTCATACATCTGTGCTACAGAGAGCCAGCGGGAGTGCGGGGAGGGGGCTGGGAGAGGTCTGTGCCACCTGTAGGTCACAGGCGGTACACAGACTCTGACTGACCTTCGCTGAAGGTGAGGGTTGAGGGGTAAAATACTGTGGAGAGGGGGAAGAGGACAGGGAAGAAAGACAAAGAAACAAGGGATGAGAAAGAAGGAAAGAAGGGAGGGGAGTAAGGAACGGAAGACAGCAAAATGGACAGGCGCCCCCGGATGGCAAAGTGTGGGAAACTTTGTAGGAAGGTGAGGCGGGGAGGAGACACTTGAATCGTTATTGTGATGGAACATAAAGTGTAATTTTGCACCCCAACCCCCCACCGCGGGGAATAACGTAAAGAGGGGAGGCTGTAGGAGAAAAGGGAGGGAAAAGGCAGCTGGCAAGAGTGTGCAGGACGGGGTCGTCGGTGTCTGGACGCCTGGCCTCCACTCCTGTGTCTTCATTTCCGTTTGTGTTCCACACCTCGCTGCCCCTGGAGACCTCTCCCCCTCACCCACTCCACCGGAGACACCTCTCCCCTCACCCACTCCCCCTAAATGATCCCCTCAGCCCCCCCCCCCTCAGTTACTGGCCCTGGGGCAACACTCACCAGTAAGCCTTAATCTTTTCCCTCCTATCCGCCCTCAGGCTTTAATTACTGTACTACCAACAATATTAATCATTGTAATATTATCAGTACCGGTCTTTAATCTCAGACTTACTGGCAGGTCCAGGTCTATACTAGTTCCCGCTTTTATTAACTCTCAAACCTAAACAAATGGATTTGTTTAGGCCTTCCCTTAACCAGGAGGCTCCGCCCCTTACGTTACAGCAAATGGTCTCGGTTACAGCTCACACAGTTGTCATTCACCCATTATAATGCTAAAGGTATATATATATATATATGTTTTTATTTATATGAAAACTCAAATTTTGTATATCTATGTGTGTGTGTTCCCGCCGGACTAATCCTTGTGGCGCCCCGGCAGCCGGTCGGCGACGGTGGGGGGCCTGGAGGAGCACGGGAGCCTCGGCCAGGACGACAACAACGGCCGAGGCAGCAGCAAGTCCGGCGGGTCGAGGAGCCACGAGCGGCTGCTGGACGGTCGACGGTCGCCGGACTACGTAGAGCAGCGGGCGCTCGACCAGCTGCTGGCGCCCGTCCTCACCAAGGCTCTCCTGCAGGGTGGGTCCCTGGCGCCTTCTCTAGTCCCTGTTCACTCCCTATAGATGAAGTTATATGCTTGTGGCTGGCGTCTTTCTCCATGAGGCTGATACTTATTTGGAATGTTGTCATTCTGCTGAAGATGATATGTCTCTGTATATATATTAATGATGATGTGTTTTACTCTGACGCCATTTTTTGTGTGTGTGTACACCGTTAAACTGGTGTTGATGGGCCGGTGTATCCACCACTCACCGGTCTGAAACACTCTCACATGCTCCTTAATACAGTATTGTATTGTAGCATTTACTAGTGTGATTGTTGGTTGTATTATTGTTAATATATATATATTGCTTCTTTAATGTCCTTTGTCTGTACGTTTGACATGTGACGTGCTGGGATGTGCTTTAATGTAGTGTGATGTGCTAGGATATGAATACCTGTGATATTTTGACAAACTTTCTCATTTCTACGTTTGAATCTATGAATGAAGTCTTCCTCCATTACTTTGACAGCGAAGATCTTTAAGGTTTTTCCTGTGGCTCATCAGGGCGTATTGTGTCCACCTGTGTGCCCTCGTTCGAGTCCCCCTCGTAGTCAGCGTGCAGCCATCCAGCAATAACAGTATATGTTGTGGCAGAACAAAATTAGGAAGTTTTGCACACAAATAGTCCACAATTTGTCCTGTTGAAAATTGCCCTTAAATTTCGCATTTCATCGCAGGAAACAATGAACAAAAACAACACCTGACTTAATCCATATTAGGCCTAACCTAACCTATCCTAGGCCTATCAAGCTGTATTAGTCATAAAGTAGTAGATATTTGTGTCATATTATGCTTAGTATCAGACCTCACCTGTACTGGAAGCCATTAATTAATGGAGGTTTTCTCATATTTTCGTATCATTCTCTGTGTGCGTTTCTCTTTTGGGAAGGTTGTCCACTTGATCATTTACCAACACCTTCCTCTTAATATGTTGTTTGGGCTGGTTCTTGGCCCTTTGTGTCCTTTCTCATACCTTTCCTCTCCTATTTTTCTTCCTTGCTTTTTTATATCTTGGTTTTTTTTTGCCTCTAAAAACAGGCATTTTTATTACTTGGGCTCCTGGCTAATGACTGTCAACACTGGTTGGTTACTGACTGCAACTGTTTGCCTTTCTGCCTGTTCTTGTTGCATGTGTACTCACCTAGTTGTACTCACCTAGTTGTGTTTGCGGGGGTTGAGCTCTGGCTCTTTGGTCCCGCCTCTCAACCGTCAATCAACAGGTGTACAGATTCCTGAGCCTATCGGGCTCTGTCATATCTACACTTGAAACTGTGTATGGAGTCAGCCTCCACCACATCACCCCCTAATGCATTCCATTTGTCAACCACTCTGACACTAAAAAAGTTCTTTCTAATATCTCTGTGGCTCATTTGGGCACTCAGTTTCCACCTGTGTCCCCTTGTGCGTGTTCCCCTTGTGTTAAATAGACTGTCTTTATCTACCAAGTGTGTGTGTGTGTGTGTGTGTGTGTGTGTATGGTATGTGTGTGTGTGTGTGTGTGTGTGTGTGTGTGTGTGTGTGTGTGTGTGTGTGTGTGTGTGTGTGTGTGTGTGTGTGTGTGTGTGTGTGTGTACTCTCTCACACACACATACACAATTGTGTGTGTGTTTGTGAATTGACAGATTGAAATTGACAGAGTGGAAATATACGAAATGTTCACACGGAATAGTAACAGAACGAGGGGACATGGGTGGAAGCTGGAAACTCAGATGAGTCACAGAGATGTTAGGAAGTTTTCTTTTAGCGTGAGGGTGGTGGGAAAATGGAATGCACTTAGGGAGCAGGTTGTGGAAGCAAACTCTATTCATAATTTTAAAATTAGGTATGATAGGGAAATGGGACAGGAGTCATTGCTGTAAACAACTGATGGCTAGAAAGGCGGGATCCAAGAGTCAATGCTCGATCCTGCTATAGAGGTCCTGCAGGTGTTTGGATCAGGTGTTTCTCAGCTTCCAGGTGTGTGGATCAGGTGTGTCTCAGCCTCCAGGTGTGTGGATCAGATGTCTCAGCCTCCAGGTGTCGTCTCAATGAACGCACATCATGTCACCAGCGACGTCTGGTGACATCATGTGTCTCTCTCTCTCTCTCTCTCTCTCTCTCTCTCTCTCTCTCTCTCTCTCTCTCTCTCTCTCTCTCTCTCTCTCTCTCTCTCTCTCTCTCTCTCTCTCTCTCTCTCTCTCTCTCTCTCTCTCTCTCTCTCTCTCTCTCTCTCTCTCTCTCTCTCTCTCTCTCTCTCTCTCTCTCTCTCTCTCTCTCTCTCTCTCTCTCTCTCTCTCTCTCTCTCTCTCTCTCTCTCTCTCTCTCTCTCTCTCTCTCTCTCCCTCTCCCTCTCCCTCTCCTTCTCCCTCTCCCTCTCTCTCCCTCTCTCTCCCCTCCGTGATCAGTTGGTCACATCTCTTAACATCGTAACCAGACAGCCGCTGCTGTCCGGTTACGGAATACATCACAAGTGCACTTCTATGGACTGCTTCGGTTACCTGATTTTTTTAGTGTCTGGCTTCTGTGTCTGATATGGCCCCCACATTGCACAGAGTTTGAAATTTGAGTTGCTCATAGATCGGGATTTGCAGTATTTATGTCACGCATAATAATGAACTAGTTTTTGTCCGAGAAATTATATGTTATTCATGCATCTAATGAAGGATACGTGTACATTCTTGTGTGTGCGTGTTGGCAAGCTCATGTCACTGGCCGCCTAGCGGTGCTCACCGCAGCTACTGGACGTCTGGGAAGCTCACTGGTTGGCCGTCATATTGTACGGGTCAACCAATGACAGTCACAGACTCCATGACCTTAATCATATTAATTATTCCAGACTAGACACACATTGCCATACATACCCATAGTTATTAGATTAGATGTAGATGCGCTTAGTAACTGTGTACCGTTCGTTCACTCAGAACCAGGTCACAAGAAACAAGGGAAGCCCCTTCTAGATGTCACGAAGAAATCAGGGGGTCGAGAGGTCGACTCTGAGGCAGGGTCACGCTCAAGAACTCCTTCCCTCAGGAGAAAGAAGACAGAAAAGAGAACGATATGTGTTCAGACCGATGAGGTTTTGGGCTGCGACTTCCAGTGGGATGTAGAGGGACAGGGAGGCGACGGTGGGGAGCAAGGTCCTCGGGGCGGGTCTCGTCTCCCCAGGAGAGAAGAGGCCGATCTCGCTGACGAAAAACTGAAAAGACGTCAAAAGAAAAGCAAGAAAAAAGTGACAGTAATTGTCGAAGCAGAGAAACCAGTCAAGAAGGAGACTGTCCACTTCAGCGACCAGCCTAACGAGACCATTCAGCCAGTCAGTTATTTGGACACTCAAGATAAGCCCTCGAGAGTTAAAAACAAAATAGCTGAGTCTCGTAGTAATATTTCGGGGCAGTGTGAGGCACCGTCCGGCGGGGCCGCGGTGGAACAGAAGGTGGTCAGTGGCTGCCGTGAGGCTGGCCAAGGTGATGACAACAACGGAAATCTACGCCCAGGAGGCATTAAAAAGTCAGCATCGCAAGTGAGCAAAGTTTCCATGGGGATGCAGACGGACACAGTGGCACCGTTAGTATTAAATAATCGGATTTTTTTAACAGAAGATTTAGACACAAGTACAGACTGGCAAGGAGAGGAAAGCTCCATTGACTGGCACACGAGTGCCAGTTCCTTAGCGTGGCACACTGACAGGAGCTCCTTCAACTGGCACACGGACGCTAGCTCCTACGCCAGGCACCTAGACGCCAGCTCCCTCTCCTGCAGGGATGATATTAGCTCCTTCGCTCCTGATTCACGGGAGGAGACAGACGAAGAAGACATTCTTAATATGAACATAGATATATTAAGAGAGAGAAGACACAAACAGGTTCCGGAGGTGCTGGTGATGGAGAACGTCGCTTGGGATGGAGGAGGCGAGCAAAATCATCAGGTTCTTGCTGGAGTCTCAGAATATAATGTAAAAAAGTCACCAGACCTAAAGAACGAAGCGGCGAGTAAAACAAATCAGATTCATAAAGACCAAAATAGAGATAAATACAAGGAAACGCATAAAGACGAAGAGATATCAGCAGAGAACATCTCGGAAATAAAAGGGAAAGAAGAAGGTAGTCAAGAGAGCGGCGAGCATTCTGAAGATCAAGGGACGGACGCCATGCTCCGACGGCTTCGTTTTCGGAGACAGATGGCAGAAGAGTTCTTGCAACACCACGCGCAGGCCAACAAGGCGGACCACGAGCGCAGGCTGGCTACTGACAACTTTTCGTCAACTTTTCCCCGGAAAGACGAGAAAGAAGCGCGGTCCAACCTGGTACTGGCTACACCTCAGCCATACCTCGAGGACTGGGAAGGCAAAGTGCCTCTGGAGACATGTAAGACTTGGCCCAAAGTTTCTGTTGATTCTCAAAGATCGGATGATATAGATTTGCGAGCATTTAATGTGATATCTGTCCCTTGTTTGGCTGACGGAAGAAAAGGCGCCAATAAAAACCCACGGCATAAGACCAGTCACCTTGAAATTAATCTTGTATATAAATCCGAACCGAAAAATGAGCAGAAACGCGTAACAATTAGTAATAGCCAACCGATAATCAATTTTGATCTACAAGAAAAGAATTCCTACAACAAGGTGACTTTTAGTGATAACAAATTTGAAAATAGCCTTAACTGTGATAAGCCAAAGTCATTTAATGAGAATACAAAGACTAAACAACCAAGGAAGAAAAGGACGGAAACAATGAGTTTAGACAGGAAAACAAAGCGGTCTCAACCAGCTGAAATTTCGGATGAATACCCGAGGAGCGACAACGACTTGAGGACGCTCTCCGCGTCTCAGAAGAAACCGGCCCTCAAGCTGGGCACCACGAAGTCTCAACAAAGGAAAAAGAAAACGAGTCAGAAGGATATAAGTGAGTCTGCTCATAAATCCAACAAGGACCACGATAAACCCAAAGAAGGAACGACGGAACAAAAGTTAAAACAAAAGGAACAGTTAGGAGACCGAAGAAACAGAGACTGGAATCTGTTGTGTTATACCACGGACACCAGCTCCACTCTCACTAACACCGACTCCGTGGGAAGGAGAGTTAAAAAGGTAAAGAAGAAAACTCTTGCGGTGCAGACAGAAGGCGATAATGTCATTTCTGAACAAATGGAAGAAGTGGATGAATCGTTTGGTGGTGTGAGGGAGCAGGTGACGGAGGCGGCAGCCACAATGAAAGAGTTACCCATTCTAGAATGTGTAGTAGTGAAAGAAAATGAATCATCCAAAGAAAACGAATGTTCCACTCCAACGGTAACTTCACTGAGGCGGAAGAGAAGCATTAAAAAGAAAACACAGTGTGTTCAAACCACTCCGTCTTTGGACGAACCGCATAATGTTTCTTTCTCTGCAGTCCGAAATATTGAGCATGCAGAGAATCACGGAGCGAAGGATCGAGTTAATCTCAGTCCTCCACTAATAGAGCGAGAAGATCGTAAAAATACCCTCAAATTACAAGTTCCGATAGAGAGTCGAGAAGCGTCAGCAAAGCAGAGAAACAGTCACGCAGCTCCAGACACTACTTCCCTCAACACCAACACCAGCTCCTTGCGTCGAATTAGAAAGGTAAGAAAGACAGCAGCAACAACCCAGACTGATGACTGTCTCAACCCTGGCCTCTTGGATATTCCTCAAGGTAGCCAACCAGATTCAATTTCGGTGCGCACTAGCTCCCTCCGGCGCATCAGGAAGACGGTGAAGAAGACGGTCGGTGTACAAACTGACGACGCCATTCCAGTATATATCCACAACCTGAACTTGACCGTAGCAGAGTTGGCGGGTAACGGCTGGGAGGAAGGGGCGGGGGAGGCATTGCTTGGCTTGCCTCAGAGTGACTCTCTCATCTACGTCAACATTCCGGCGGCGCTGTTGGAGGTGGGCGAGTCAGGCAACGACGCTGACGTTAGTGAGGCCGAGAGCGACGACGTAGTGAAGAGGAGGTACGGCAGGGTGGTCGCCGCTCTCAAAGCCTGCAGCAAGGTGGATGAGGACGAGGACGAGAATGAGGATGTCGGAGACGAGGCAGGTGTCAGAGGCGAGGCAGGTGCCGGAGGCGAGGCAGGTGCCGGAGGCGAGGCAGGTGCCAGAGGCGAGGCAGGTGTCAGAGGCAAGGCAGGTACCGGAACTCATCATGGAGAGACTAGGTTCGAAAAACTCATCGGTGGAAACGAGTTTAGCATTTCTGAGCTTGATGTAACGTACGATATGGAACGCGAGAGCCAGAGACAAGGAGCTGCCGCGCTCGAGAGTGATGATGATGATGACGCTGGAGCCCCCGATGGTGAGAGTGATCATGAGAGTGCTGCTGATGATCCAGATGATGGAAGGGATCAGGAGGCAGATGCCGGTGCTCCAGAAATTTATAGTGCTCACTATCGTTACACAGGTGCCCCAGACGGGGAAAGTGACAACGACGATGACACCGGCGCTCCTGATGGTGAAAGTGATCAGGAGGCTTCTGATATAGGTGCCCCAGATGGTGAAAGTGATCACGAAGGTTATCATAGAGGCATCCCACATGATGGAGGTGAATCAGGTGCTCCTACAGATACAGAAGTCAACAAACCAGAAGAGAGTAGAGTGGAGCCGAGCAACATGCGCGCTCCACCGAGCACTCCTGTGGACGCAGCACCAGAGACCACTGAAGACGACAGCGATGAAGACGTTGGAGACATCTACGTGGTTGACCACCACTACACTAGAGCAGCAGAGAGTACAGCTGAACGTGACAGTCCAGAGGGAGGAAAGATGCAGCACTTCGACATGAATGTCTGCTTTGCGAATAAGCTAGACAGAGAAAGTAGTGACGAATCTTCATGCAAAGAAAACGACGATATTGGACATAGGAAGGTGGAATATGAAATTCGTGAAAACAGTAATGAGGATGAAAAGTACGAAAATCAAAAACAAGAAAACGCAACCAAACTGAGAGAGAATATTGGGGAAGACCTGACCGCGCTCACAACCTCTCAGGAGTACTCATTAGACAAGGTGCCAGTGATCGCTGTACAAGTATTAGACGAGTCGCCGCTACAACACGACGGAATAGAAGCTGAAATGAATATGCAACATGCGGCCAGAGCCTGGATGGACCGGGAATATAGAGAATTTGAAGTCACTGGATTAAGAGAAAGTTGTGAGAGCGAGGACTCTACAATTAGAGACACTGTCGTGGAGAGAGAGGTTCCCAAGCTATCAACAGAAGGATGGACGAAGCAGCAGGAGCAGGAAACAACACGCTCCGGAAGGATGCTCTGTGACGCTCCTGTCATACAGACACCATTTATGGTTGAAGAAAATGCTTCGATGTTAGAAAATACGGGAGATGGTGGTACTCTAGAAGTAGGTGAGGTCACAGAGTACGAATCCAATGACGCTGATAGAGAAGAAAGAGCCAACACACCCGATACAACAACATACATTTCTGGTAGCTCGTGTGAACTACAGCCATTGTGTAATGTTTTGGCGGAGGCGAGTGTCGACACTGATAAGAAGAAAGCATCTAAGCCCGAAAGGGAAAAAAGAACTTTCATTAAGAAGACGAACTTCATAGAAAAGAGAACTCTTCATGAGAGAGGATCCTTTGTCGAAAATCGACAAGACATCAAATCAGAGATAGATGATGGTTTGTGTTTAGATGTTGGTAGAGGGCTGAGTGCTGGATCTTTGTCATACGGGAACAAGACCATTGGCAGCGAGCAAGAGGCTGCTCTAACGGCGCATGTTAGTCAACAAGACTACAAAGATCAACCATCTGCCTCAGGGGCTCATGTGAAGGAACCGAGTGCTTCGAAAGCTTACCCTAAGAAACCAGACCATGAAGGCCACCCGTGTGCTTCAGGGGCTCTTGCTCAACAGCCAGGCCGAAAAGATCACCCAACTCCCAAAGACATTGCTTCTGAGGACAAAAATACTGCTCAAGAAACTCAACTTAACACAGACAAACAAACGGAAGAACAACAACAACAAAGCCATTTTAGGGAAGACCCCATATACAAAGACAAACAAAATATACAAGCAAACGAACTTGAAATAAACAAATCAGAAGTAACCCAACATTTCCAAGAAAAAGAGGTCGACTCCACCGGCCAACCAGACGATGAAGAAAGTGTTGGCGAAGCCTCTGAGGTCCCTCGAGGGACCAACTGAAGGTTGACATGAGGTCCTTCGAGTCAGGTCATACCTTCAGTGATGAAGACGAAGATGTCGTTGTAATAAGCTACAAAAGAGCCGGCCAGGGAAAAATGGACATGAGCTATGTCTCAGAGACGGTGGAAGATGGTGCTGCAGAAGACTTTAAGGAACTCTCAGAAGGTATTCTACAGGAAGAGGTTAAGGACGCATCAGATGGTAGACTACAGGAAGAGATTAAGGAGCTACCGGAAGGTAGACTACAGGAAGAGATTAAGGAGCTACCGGAAGGTAGACTACAGGAAGAAGTTAAGGACGCATCAGAAGATAGTCCGCAGGAAGAGGTTAAGGAACTTCCAGAAGATAAGCTAGGACAAAGTAGTTTACAAGAGAAGATTAAGGAGCTACCAAAAAGTAGTATACAGGAAGATGTTAAGGAACTACCAGTAAGTAGTCTACAGGAAGATGTTAAGGAACTACCAGAAGGAAGTCTACGGGAAGTGGTTAAGAAACTAGCAGAAGAAAGTCTACGGGAAGAGGTAGTACGGGAAGAACTTCCATCAGACAGTCTACAGACTGAAAGAAATATCGTCGATGTGTTTCCATCTACCTTTCAACAAACCAGAGACCAGGAAGAGAGTAAAGCCAGGGAGAAGGAGAAGGTGAAAAGGCCAAGAAAACCAAGGAAAGGGAACATAATTGAAAGAAGGTATGTTGACAAAATGGATGCGCGCCAAAACACAGCTGATGATAAAGACAAAGCAAGAGAGGAGTGCGCACAGAGGCAGCAGCAAACAATAACAAACGAAGACCAATATGACGTGGAGAGGCAGCCACAGGGAGCTGCTCTTGGCCATGGAATGAGAAAGAGAGAAGAGCAGGTACAACAACACATGGTTGATAATGGCGGGGCAATACCCAAAGAGGAGAAGAAAAAGAAACGGAGACCAAGGCAAAGGAAACATAAGAACAAGAAGGAGGGAGATGGCATATGGGGCATGGGAGCAGGAGGAGGAGGAGAGGTTGAGCCCCAGACTGCTCACCTCCACGGAGACACAGTAGGCAGCCACAGCCAGGCTGTATGCCAGTATGGGGATACAGTAGGCGACCAGAGACCGGGTGCCTACCACCACAGCGGTACAGTAGGCGACCAGAGACAGGCTGCCTACCACCACAGCGGTACAGTAGGCGACCAGAGACAGGCTGCCTATCACCACAGCGGTACAGTAGGCGACCAGAGACAGGCTGCCTACCAACACAGAGACACAGCAGGCAGCTGTGGTCAGGCGGCACACCATCACGGAGGCACCACCAGAGAAACAAAGAGGAAGGAAGGGCTCAAAGAGGGAGAACTGCAACAAGTTTACGAAAACAAAGACGAAAGAGAATCTACAGGTGATAAAAGAAGTACGAAGTACACGAAAAGTGATGAACAAGGCGAAAGAACAAAAGAAGAGAGTTTTAAAAAGACAGATTATAAACCCTGGGCAGATGAAGTTGATGAAGAATATTCTAAAGAATGGAGTCCACTCGGAGTTGAAGAGAGAACACGAGTTCTCTCAGGCTCACGGGAGAACGACAAAATTCATAAGGTTCCCCAAGGCATAAACTACGTTGAAAAGATAAAAGGGGACGAAAGAGAGGGAATTCATAGAGATACATTGGCTGACTTTGAGGCACTGACAGAGGAGGAAACTTCGTATTGTGATGACGATTCGAGTCAGTACGAGAACTCGAGTCGTTGCGAGGAAGAGAGCGAGGATGCAGGTGAGGGAGGAGGAGAGCAGGATGCCTACGAGGAGTACCTCATGATCCGCGAAGGGAACATCCAGGAGGATATCAAAGCCGTGGATCTTATCTTCAAGGACGTATTCAAGGATTACAACAGCGGGGAGTTTTTGGCAGACGCTGACATCTCCCAGAGCGAGTACAGCGAGCACCAGCAGGGGGCAAGAGGCGGGCTCCAGCTGCAGGAGGAGAAGGACCAGCTTCAGAGGGTGCTCGAGGGCGCGTCTCCGGACACCCATCCACCTGCTGACTGCCACCCAACGTCTCAGAGACTGGATTACCACCTTTCTCAAGGGATTATTAAACTTGCCACGGGATCTAAATGTTCAGAAAAGGAGGAAGCCTCTGTGCAAGACGCCTCCTCGCACGCTGGCGAACTGGAAGGTCAGTACCCATGACCCTGCCTCGAGTTGACCCGACCCGCGTGTCTAATAATACCCTGGAGTGTGTGTCTAATCACCGCAAGGTACGACTAACGCTCTTAACGTGAGGGGGGCGACACCTGGGCCCTCGTGTAGGTCTCCTTTTTGCTTCTAGAGATCTTGTCAGCTAGTAAAAGTTAATTTAGGACCATGTTTGTCTCTTATAGGCTCCTCTCACTTATGCAGTCAAGCATATAACAACTCTTAAGCACACAAGTTTAACATATTGTTAAAACAGGAGTTGTAAGATTACTGATAACACTAATGGGGTAGAGTTTGTATAGAAGATAATATTATTTGTCGGTTCTACGTGAGTTTTGCACTTGAAACTGCCCCCTCTGAAGGAGATATGGTATACTGAAGCTTGTGTATTGTTAGTAGAGATATTTACACATAGCAGACATTGAGCACGACCTCCACAAGACGGGATCGACGTGATCTGCCCCACACTTGAGTAGACAGTGTGATATTACCACTACACAATACACCTGTTCATGTCTTCATTCCAACACATCCCTGTATGTTATGTCCTGCCATTAATGAAATGAATCATGTCATCACCAGGAATGTAATGTTATTATTACTGTACCGTACAGTGTTTCATGTCCCCCCCCCCCACCCACCCCACCATCACCGCCACAAGAGTTTCATGTGGTAAGATTGTCATCGCCTCATCATAATGAGTAATGAGTGATTTGTTCAGTGATGAGTTACATACACACCACAGCACTCCTGTGGCGTGTGTCTAGTTACTCTGTTTAACTTTATGTGATGCCAAGTGAATGATGTGTATCCTGATTTATCTACGTTTATTAACATGTGTTTCTGTGATGGTTATATGTTTGTGTGTGTGTCTCTCTCTCTCCTGATTTGCCTCGAGATTCATCATTTGATCTTACTCTTGTCTCTTGTTGTGCGTCGCAGCTAGTCTCCTTTTATTGTTATATTATGCTTGCTCCTCCGCGTCCTGTATTGTGCCTCCTCCTCCTTCTTATTGTTACTGTAATGTGTTCTCGTCTTTCGGGTTACAGCGACTGCCTCTTCCCTCCCTCCCCCTCCCCTCAACCTGTTCACCAGCATTACAGTCGTCGACCCTACCTCCCCTCTGACCCACCCGTCCAGGTATGTAAACCCGAACCCCACACCTCTGACCCACCCGTCCAGGTATGTAAACCCGAACTCCACACCTCTGACCCACCCGTCCAGGTATGTAAACCCGAACCCCACACCTCTGACCCACCCGTCCAGGTATGTAAACCCGAACCCCACACCTCTGACCCACCCGTCCAGGTATGTAAACCCGAACCCCACACCTCTGACCCACCCGTCCAGGTATGTAAACCCGAACTCCACACCTCTGACCCACCCGTCCAGGTATGTAAACCCGAACTCCACACCTCTGACCCACCCGTCCAAGTATGTAAACCCGAACCCCACACCCTCTCTTCTTGTGTATGTTGTTGTGCGAATGTTTCTCTCCGTGTCTCCGTGAGGGACGTAATTTTCCCCTCTCCTCCCCTCCCTCTATCTCTCTCTCTGTGTTCGTGTTCTCTAACCCCCGGAGTGAGACGCCCTTTTGCAACTCAACAGAGAAACTGAAGCGGTCATGCATGAGGACCCAGGCGACCCAGACGGACGTCGGGGCGGTGAGGAAGTCCATGCCTCACCTCTCGCTCGGTTCCGCCATTGACAAGGTGGGGGGCAACTCCTCTGTAAAACAGTATTAACTTCTAGTGTTTTTAACATAGTATTAACCCTGGTTGGTTGTATACTTTTTTTAGTGAAGTGCTTACACTTTCGAGGAATCTTCTTCGCTGCTTATCATTCGTGTTTTGTTTATTTTATAATTATGCATGGTAATATCAATTCATTTCAGTAAAATAGATAACTCAGCCCACACATATGAAATGGTATGAAAATGACGACGTTTCGGACCGTTTTGGACCCCTTATCAAGTCATGGCAAGGGTCCAGGTCGGGCCGAAACGTCATCAGTTTCATTTTATTTCTTATGTGTAGGTTGGGTTATTTCTGTCAGCCACGTTCTTGTGACCATAATATAAATAGCATTTCATCCTGTTTAGTCAAATCTAAATACTGCTATTTTTCTTTGCCTTAAGTATAATAAGAAAGTTTTGTAAATGTAGTAGATGCAAGATATTGTGTAGCGTTGGCTCCAGTGAGGCTGGCAGTAAGTGACCTCAGACACGCTCTGATCTGCAGGCTGAAATGATCTCCCAGGGCGCTCAGACCAACGGTGACGGTGGGCGACGCAAGCTGGTCAAGAGCCTGTCTGAGGTGGCGCGCTACGAGGGCATCCAGTACGAGATCTACGACCTCGACGACTTAAATCAATCCCCACTGCCCACCAGAGCCATGTCCGAGGCACCCCTCATATTTCCCCCAATGTTCTCTACCTTTGATATACCCTTAGATGAAGGACCTCCTCCCCCTCCACTTAAATTCCGGCAAAATTACCAAGAAATTTTTATTGATTCTTCCCCCCGAAAGCCTCGTCGAGGCTTACTACATAAAACGCTTTCAGAGGGAGAAATCTTATCAGAGCGACGGAAAGCGCTGAGTCTTGCCTCAGGGTACATCGAGGTGGACATCAATGGCTACAGTGACAATGAAGAAGAGGTTATTGAGCCTCAGTGTGTTAACGAGGTCTGTCGTGACCTCTCTCGTAGTAGAATATTTACTCCAGAATCTTTTATAGAGGAGGAAGAAGAATTCCATGAAAATATGCTCCACAAAGAAATTCTTCCTTCCATTTTACCTTGTGAGAGAAAATTGTCACAAATATCAACAGATTCTGATTTAAAAACTTTTGATCCCAATGAATTCCGAACGCCTGAACACTTGCAAAGCCAACTCGCAGCCTTATCATTAGATTCACTTGTCGAAGGTGGGCCATCTCTGCTGGAAACCGGATCATATACGGAAGGGCTCAGTGCTAGGGACGGTTCGCCGATGTTGTACGTCGGGACGCCCAGTGAAGCCACAGGAGTTGGGGAATTTGGGGATCACCTTGAAGAGTCGATGAGTGAGAGTCAAGTGACGGTGGTGCAGCGGGCTTTAGTTGCTTCTTCTCAGGTCATTACGTCAGACTCAGAAAATGGGAGCTTCCACCTGACGGACCACTCTTCGGCTGCCACAACACCCTCTACACGTCACAAAAGCCTCCCTGCTGCTGGCAGTTTCGAGGAGGACCTTGATGAAGACCTTCTGCCACGTTTACGGGTATCGAGTTTCGTTCACAGCGCCACCACTCTGTCTTCTATTGAAGATGAGCAAACGAGTGTCAGTGAAATTGTTGTTTCTGACAGTTCTCAAGGTGTGACAATCAGTACATCTAGTGATTTTGACAAAGCCATAATTTGTTCCACTGACAATGACTACAGCTCCATACGAAGTGGAGAATCTTTGACAATAAAATCTGAAGTGCTAGAAGAAGAAGAATTTGAAGGTGATATTGTAATAGAAGAAAATATAATGGCTAAATTAGTTCAGGAAATGAAAGACGGTGAGTCAGCATCGCAAACACCAATCAAAACTTCCGATTTCCGGGATGACGCCAGAAGAATGGCCTCCCCGGAGTCGGACTCGTCCAGTAGTCTCTTCACAGAGCAGGAAACGTCCAGGAGTCCGGTATCGGGAACAACCAACACAATGACGTCCAAATCTGACCTCTCCCGCACCGACTCCCATCCAACTGACCAATCAGAGACCTCGGAAGATTACATTACAGCTACAGAGAACAGCACCCACGATCAAGATGCCCGTCGAAGTTATTCTTTAGAGGAAAGACACGTTTCATCTCCACCCGGAATGGCCGATATATATGAAGATGAAGCCTTAACCCCCAAAATCCTGAGTCCTGAGACGAGCGAGGTGCTGGCCAGCCTGCAGGAACACCATGAGCTGAGCGACATCACGGAAGGAATCAGCGTTGCCAGCGACTTTGAGACTGCTCAGGACCTCACTTCTCCTGATGGCGACACTACCACTTCAGCCAGTTATTACATTGATTATTCTATAGGCGAAGAATTTGATAAAATGTCAGAAACCAAAATCAAGCCAGAGATCCCACCCAAACCTACCTTCATACCAAAGCCAGACGTGCCACCTAAGCCAGAAAGACTATCACCTTCAAGAGAAAGTTCTCCATTGTCTTTGGATTCTCGGGAAGCTGATGAATATCAGTCCCAGGATCTTGAAGTGGAAACAACAGTGAAAAAAAGAGGAAAGCCTGCAGAAGAAAGCAAGACAGGGGCCATCAAGAAGCGATATTCTGCTGGAGGAAAAGTTGCCAAGGATGATAACAGAAGGTATTCGAGATACTTCGAGGACAACGACAAAGGTGAGCTGTCTGAGCTTCGTGGTCAACAGTCATGGTCTGAAGAAGAAAGAGAAAAGACTAAGCAGGCGTTAAAATTAGACTTTCCTCCTGGTGTTACTATGTTTGGGGAGGCCCCCAGCTGGTCAGACCAAGATAATTTGAAAACTGGAGATGTGGAAAAGAAACTTAAAGTTTTTGATAAACCTAAAAAATCCGTTAAAATTGATCTTGCCAGCGTCGAGGACCTTCAGGCATTGCGTTCCAAAAACGGAAGCCCAAATGATAAAGAAAAGGAAGCTCCTGTAAGTGAAGCCAAGCAGTTGAAAAGTAAGCATGATAAGGTCAAGCGTAAATCCGAGGAGATCACGACTCCAGGTATGGTAAGAAGCCCAGCAATGCATGAAGGATTCAGACTCGAAGACTGGACCCCTGTTCGTACCCCTCTCACTCCTGACAGAGTTATAGATCTTGATACATCTGATGAATCATATTCTGAATCGCCGAGATACCCACCGAAGGGTCGAAGCCCAGGCAGAAGATCAAAGGAAAGCCCAGGTAAGAAGGGTGAAACCCCCAATGTTCCCACGGAGAGTCCTTTAAAGCAAATGAGTGAAATGCATGGGCCTGGAAAGATCATTGAAATGACTAGAGAAAGTCCAAAACGTTCAAATGGGCTGAGTAAGAGTCCAGAGAAACAACTAAGACAGAGTCCAAGACGGACAGGGCTTCAACAGACTAGTCCTGTGAAGGACACTGTCGTTACAAATGTAGAAAAAGTAGTCACTCTTCCAGTGGAGATCCATCAACGTCAGAGCCCAGTAAGATTCCAAAAAGCCGGAAGCGAACCAGTAAAAAGATTGAGTGAGATTCCTGTCGGTTCGGCGCATGAAACTCCTGAGGTGATAAAGCGGTACTCGGCAGACATATCCATCGGTAGGAAAGGCAGTCAAGACCTCCTGAAGCCGGCTGGCCCTGTCACTGGCTATTTGAGAACAGGCAGCCAGAGTCCCACTTCAAGAGAAAGACCATTACAGTTACCGGAGAGCAAACTACTCGCCATTGCTCCAATGAAAGATTCCCGAAGAAGTGCAGAGTCCCTCAGATCGATGAGTCCTGGTTCAGACAACGTGTTCTTGAGCGGTAGTCGTGAACAGCTTGACGAGGACACCCGGCCAGCCCTCTGTGTCCAGTGTGGCGAACGACCAGCGTCCAGGGAAGACCTGCTACGACCCTCACCACCAACCAGCACAGGAGTGACCGTGGAGCGATGCTTCTCTGACAGAGAACCCTCTCGACCCCGTACAGTTGGGTATCGGGCCAAGTCCGAGGAAAGAAACTCTTTCACCAAGGACTGGGGGTAAGTTACTGAGGCAGATACTTTAGCAGTGATCCTAGAATAGATAGATACATTATATTATTAGTGCTTCTATGACAGATACATTATCAGCGCTCCTGGGACAGATACATTATTAGGCATCTTTTACAAATGATAAATCCTCTTGACATCAGTTTGACTAAATTTGTCAGGTAATATTAAATATACAATGAAATCTTAGATAAGAGTGTCCCCCAGTTCAGTGTGTCATTAAATCAGGTTTCCCTTAGATCAGGGTGTTCCCCAAGATCATTGTGTTTCTAGATGAAGGTGCCGCTATATCAGGATGATCCTAGACCAGCATGTGCATAACGAATTCCTCCTGGCGCAGGATGACGCCCATCAGCCTGGAGCAGGGAGACACGCCTCGACACGACAGCGACAATGACGAGAAAGGCATTTACGATGACCCCTACCATAACTGTCCCTGGCTCTACGTCAGCCCTAGCGACGAAGCCAAGGTGAGCCACGCCCGAGGGAGCCCCGGAGGTAAGGTAAGGCATGCTTAGGGAGGCTCTGAAGGGGGTGGTAATGAAGGTAAGGTGGGCCATGCCCTGGGGAAGCTTTGAAGGATGAGATAAAGCCAAGGCCTGTTATCCATACCTGGAGAACGCTGCAAGTGGTGATGAGGGTAATATGAAGAGGATTTGTTCATTTCCTTCAATTGCAGCATCCTGATCGTCACTCAAAAAAAATATATTTTTCCTGCAGACTCGCTTTTGCAGACAACACACCTCTCGCATATTTGGTTTTGTTATCCAACCAGCAGAAGCCATGTTCTGCTGCGACACCTACATATCCTTGTAGACGCGCTTATCAAATAGTGATCACAGAGCTAGTGTACTCGAGCACTCTTGGTGGGGGCAGCGGGTTAAGGCGAACAGTTCTGCTGCCTGATCTTCTCGCTGGGGGGCCAACAAGCCCATGTGGTGTGCGTTTGAGGACACCAAGTGGTGCATCAGCTAGATACCGCCTGAATCCATTCAATGGACACCAGGTGGATATTAAACACGGTGAATCACCAGAACTATTGATAGCAACAGTCTCATGTCTCATCACTCCATCAGCGATCATTCATTCCTAGGTTGCCTCGCCTCTGGAACTTGTTCGCTCAGCAGGTTGATACATGGAAGATCAGGACAACTGATCATATGAAGGCTCTGGTACACAGCTGGCTACAGGCTTATCCTGTTCCTTTTAAGATTGTTACCTAATGAATAAAGTTTATTCCTATTGATACAATAATAGGCTCATGAAATAAATGGGCATCTAGAAGTAGGTTTCAACTGAGATGAGGTAGGATTATAGCTCTTGCTTGCAATGTTTCCTGGTTCCTTATATGATATTTCCTTTATGAAAGTTCCCAATGTGATATTTAGTTTCAAAGTATATTCTCATGAAATAAATGAGTCTCTAGGAGCAGGCTTCAAATGAGCTGACGTAGGATAACAGCTCTTGCTTGCAGTTTCACTAGGTACGTCACTTGACAGCCCTTATGAACCCTAGTCTTAGTTAAAAAAAAAAAAGAGAGAGAAAGAGATGTATTTCAAGAACATTTCATATCATGAGATATGATGACACCCAGGAAACTGGGGAACCATCCTCGATTACAAAACGATAATCCAATTATTTAATACTGCTGTTGCCATACGTCATTCACATTGCTTCGGTTGCTGTAATAACTTGATGAATTGACCTAGTGTTGGCAACTGACATGAGTGTGTGTGTGTGTGTGCAGGTGTGGCGACGGGACGAGGGGTCGCCGAGCCCCCTGCCTCAACACCTCAGAATACCTGGCTTCGACGACGACGACGACCTCGAATCCGACACTGCGCCCGACTCCAGGTCAGACTCGAGGCAGGACACCTTGAGAGACACGGCGGAGAACGGCATCCAGGACATCCTTCAGGACTCAGTCATACAGGATATTATGCAAATTCCAGATGCCAAGGGTACCACGCCGGACACATTGCTAGTTCAACAAGACACTAAGGGCGCCATAGATGATGAAGCGAAACAAAATGATACAAGTAAGTTTGTATATGATCATTTAATATCTTTTAATTCGATGATGAACTAATTTGAAACAATTTATTTAAAATAAAGAAAATCACTCGGTCTATTAGGCAAGTCAGCCCTTGCATAGTAGGCCGATAAGTGCGTTCTGGCTACTAGGTACGACATATATATATATGACAATGTCAGACCACGGAGAAAAATGAAACAGGAATTTCCTTAAGTACTTTCGTATATTAATACATCTTCAGAAGGAGTCCTTCTGAAGATGTATTAATATACGAAAGTACTTAAGGAAATTCCTGTTTCATTTTTCCTCCGTGGTCTGACATTGCCACATTTTTAATGACGTGTTTACTTTCGTGATATACACACACACATATATATATATATAATATATATAATATATATATATATATATATATATATATATATATATATATATATATATATATATATATATATATATATATATATATATATATATATATATATATATATCCAAGAGGTGAGCCACTATGCAACCCGGGAAGAAACAGACGCCAGTACAATATATTCTACCTGGGAGTATTATCAGCATACATAGACCATGTTAATTAATTAGTAGCTATAAATTGCATTAACGTGAATTTATTCCATTTACACTCCACCAGTTTTCAACCCAAGGTGAACTCTCTCGTCAATACATAGATACGAATGTAAACAAATGTATTTTAAAATATATAATGCAAAATGATTTCACTCTGTGACGACCAATCGAACCACCATCTCTCTCCCTTCCTACCAGTTAAACCACCAGCATTCTCTCACTACCAGTTAAGCCAGCAGCAGCCCTAGACCTTCTATGACCTCCCCTCTAGTACTCACCTGGTCGACTGTCCTCAGGTAGACGCGGGTCGCTGGAGTCGACGTGCAGCGAGAAGGACTTCAGACGCCGGTACCAGGCCATCACCCACCGGATGGTTCACCGGAAGGCCTCGGTGGAGATGTACCAGCGCCTGGTGCAGGGCGCCTTCCGTGAGTACTGTCTCCCGTCTCCTGGACGCCGCACACGCCGCCGTCACCCCCCTCTACCCTCTGGAGACCACCACCGCCTCCTGCTGTTGCTGCTCTCTCTTACAACCCCGTTCTCTTACAGTTTACGTCGCTTTTCGTTCGTATGAGCACTCGCACGTCGGTATTTGGCCGTAGCGCTTACGAGCCAAAAGCGACGTAATTTGTAAGAGGAGCTGTTGCTCTTACACGATTTGTTGATTTCTTTAAAGATACAGAAGTCGTTTTCCTTATTCCTTAAAGATATAGAATTAGTTTCACTGTAATGTTTTATGGTACAATGAGTGTATCTTAACGAAAATACATACCCTTAAGATTTTCTGTATATGTATGTATATACATACATATATATGTATGCATGTATGTCTCCAGGTGTGGTGGAGAGTGGTGGTGGATGTTTGTGGCGACTTAGAGTAGTCTGTCTCCAAGTTACATTTTCTCTTATGGTTTTGTATTCGCTTTTCTCCTCGTGTTCACTTGACACTATAGCATGTCTCTCAGGGACCGTGTTTGTTGTGTACATTGTACGACGTGACTTCGTGTCTCAGTGTTCGAAAAGTACCATCCTTATTCCCAAAGGCATTATCATCGTTTATGTGAATGTTGAACACCAGTTACACACACACACACACACACACACACACACACACACACACACACACACACACACACACACACACACACACACACACACACACACACACACTGGCAGGAGTGTAGAACCAGCTCGTTGTAAATAATGACATATTGGTGCATGTAAATACACCTACTGTAAATGATGACATCTTTGAGCGTGTAACTGTTATGTTGCATCATAAGTTGATTACTTTAGTGCCTAGTGAGTTAGAGGAATTAAGCGTTCTTTTAGTGCCTAGTGAGTTAGAAGAATTAAGCGTTCTTTTAGTGCCTAGTGAGTTAGAGGAATTAAGCGTTGTTTTAGTGCCTAGTGAGTTAGAAGAATTAAGCGTTCTTTTAGTGCCTAGTGAGTTAGAAGAATTAAGCGTTCTTTTAGTGCCTAGTGAGTTAGAAGAATTAAGCGTTCTTTTAGTGCCTAGTGAGTTAGAAGAATTAAGCGTTCTTTTAGTGCCTAGTGAGTTAGAGGAATTAAGCGTTCTTTTAGTGCCTAGTGAGTTAGAGGAATTAAGCGTTCTTTTAGTGCCTAGTGAGTTAGAAGAATTAAGCGTTCTTTTAGTGCCTAGTGAGTTAGAGGAATTAAGCGTTGTTTTAGTGCCTAGTGAGTTAGAAGAATTAAGCGTTCTTTTAGTGCCTAGTGAGTTAGAAGAATTAAGCGTTCTTTTAGTGCCTAGTGAGTTAGAAGAATTAAGCGTTCTTTTAGTGCCTAGTGAGTTAGAGGAATTAAGCGTTCTTTTAGTGCCTAGTGAGTTAGAGGAATTAAGCGTTCTTTTAGTGCCTAGTGAGTTAGAAGAATTAAGCGTTCTTTTAGTGCCTAGTGAGTTAGAGGAATTAAGCGTTGTTTTAGTGCCTAGTGAGTTAGAAGAATTAAGCGTTCTTTTAGTGCCTAGTGAGTTAGAAGAATTATGCGTTCTTTTAGTGCCTAGTGAGTTAGAAGAATTAAGCGTTCTTTTAGTGCCTAGTGAGTTAGAAGAATTAAGCGTTCTTTTAGTGCCTAGTGAGTTAGAGGAATTAAGCGTTCTTTTAGTGCCTAGTGAGTTAGAAGAATTAAGCGTTCTTTTAGTGCCTAGTGAGTTGGGGCCGCAACACAAGTTGTTTTACAGAGTAGTAAGCTAACACTGCAGGCAAACCTGCTGGCTTTTGTGTGCAGCAAAAGCCGAGCCGTTTGGGACGTACCAACAAGGAGTAATAGAGTTAAAACATTCGCTGGTGGCGAACCAGTTATTGAATTTATTAACCCACCTACTACCCCCTCTCCCCCCCCCCAGGGTCAGTACACCATGTAGCCGCAGTAAGGTGGATCTGTGTGATAATATTGATGCTATGTGGGTACCTGGGTGTGGGCGGGTACCTGGGTGTGGGCGGGTACCTGGGTGTGGGCGGGTACCTGGGTGTGGGCGGGTACCTGGGTTACCTTGAGGCCCATCAACCTCTGGAGGGTTATTAAGACCCATTAACCTCTGGAGGGTCACTAAGGCCTCCACAACAGCCTACTGACCAACCAGTTTACGACAGTTCAGAACCAGCGTAAACTCTCATTGTATATACACCGGTAAGTGAGGTAAACTTCTTTGAGTATACACTGTAATTATTTATACAATAAATCGAGGTCCCCCTAAGGTCGTACATGCTAACCTTGCCTCGGACGCCACAACACAAGAGGCGCCAAGCTCCCGGGGAGCCTATACTGACTCCTAGGTAAACAGGAACACGAGGTGAGAGGAGACATGCTTATATAACCCTTTCTGTCCCCCGCCCGGGAATCGAACCCGCCTGGGGGGATCCCTGTTGAGTAGACAATAAAGCCAAATACAGTCGTGTCAGCCATGACGGAATTGCTGGGAATCCAACCTGGGTAAATAGTGTTTGTTTAGTGTTAATTCGTTAAAAATAAGACGCATTAAAGTCAAAATTAAAGCACTGTAATATTGACGTCTTGTAGGTCAAAGCCGATAGATCAAGTAGGTTGCTTGGATCCGTACGATAATACAGTAGATACAATAGATCCGTAGGTAATACAGTTGCATTTTTTTTTTTACGGAGTAGCAAATCGAGAATCGCACTTACAATTATATGTTAATGGCTCTTTACACACTCCGCCTCGGGAAAATATTCCTGACCCTCCACCCTGACCTTCCACAACAGTTGGCTGACTCCTGGCTACGTATTTACTTGGTGAAGAGAGGCGGGTCTGCCCTACCCGGGAATCGAAGCAGGAGACACATCTTACCCCACGCTAAATGCTATTTAGTGATACAAATGTTATTAAGTCCTCTAGTGCCGTGATGAGACCAGTGGTAAGAACACGAGAACAGGCGCCAGGATGTCAGAACATGAGTAAGAGAAGGAGAACTAGAACGAGAAAACAAGGATTAGAGTAAAATAATCGATAAGAAGGAAATAACTTGGATATTAGAAAAAGAGAACAGAATGACAAGGAGGGAGAAGAGGAGGACAGAACAAGGGAGATAAGTGGAAGTCAAACTCATGCATCACAAATAGACGCTGGCTGAGGACCAAAATCCTCAGGCCTTCCTCCCTCCCAAAATCCCACTTTCTTTCTCAATCCCTCTCTCCATCCCTCTCTCTCTCTCTCTCTCTCTCTCTCTCTCTCTCTCTCTCTCTCTCTCTCTCTCTCTCTCTCTCTCTCTCTCTCTCTCTCTCTCTCTCTCTCTCTCTCTCTCTCTCTCTCTCTCTCTCTCTCTCTCTCTCTCTCTCTCTCTCTCTCTCTCTCTCTCTTCCTCCCTCAATCCCTCTCTCTCCTCGAGCCTCCCTCCCTCAACCCATGAGGGAACCTTCCCCATCACAATTATCACTACGAGGGCTGTTTCTAATGGATCTAAGTTATATAAGCCACTGCTAATGTTCAAATTACTTTCTTTTGTGATCTGTATCAATGCAGATTCAATTATGTTCCTGTTGTAGGTGCTTTTACAATTCGTTATTGAAGAAGCCATCTCCCAATCAATTTGGTGAGCATCTTCTGACAGATGAACAAACAAAGCATTAGACAATTGGCCATGTCTTACAGAGTATTTATGTTGCGAAATTCTACATTTCAAATCTTAAGATGTTTGCCCAACATATAACCTACTACAGTTTTTACAAGGTATTTTTTAAATGACACAATTATCACTACGAGGGCTGTTTCTAACTAATAGTTTACCAACAGTATTTTCGTAATTAAACAATACATGTATATCAAAAAGTTTCAAGGCCTTGACAATATTTACGAACCCAGAAAAATATGGTAAACATAACACATTTTTTGGGTGAATTTTCTCACTGCATATATTATTATAATATGTAAATGCTAATATACTATAATATTAATTTATATTTGAGAAAATTTATGTTTTGAATGAACAGCATGTAAAAATTTATGAATGCGTCTGTGGGGTCGACCGCTGGATGGAATGGACTTGAGTCGAGGACGGGTTGTTTCATTCATAAACAGTGGGTTTGGCTGGTGCATGGAATCACTTTTGGGTCTTTGATTGGAGGACGGGCTGCTTAACCAACTTAGCCATGATGGTACAAAAGCCGAACAACCCTGAATTCAACTGAATTCTCTGAGAGGTTCTGGAGGCCCCGAACCGGAGCCCAACCTCAGGGTTTTACAGTCGAATCGACCACACTCTGGCCTACGGTAATGGCGCTCACACTCAATAAAATCATAATGGCGTGATATATATGGCAGGTGTCTGGGAATCACCAGAATGCGGGTTCGAGTCACTGCATGGCCTCAGCATTATTTTTATTGATATATCACGTAATTGTGATTTCATTGCAATATTATAATGTGTATATGTATATATAATAATTCCAGCCCATCCTCTTAAAATGATAGGGCTTATAATGACTTTTTGAACTAAAGTACTATTACGTAGTGATGTAACACCAAAAAGTTGATATTTCGTATTATTGAATTTGGCCAAATGAGAAACTTTTTTAACGGACCTAAATAAGGTCTTTAAATAAGACCTTATTTAACCTACAGCAATCATAGGCCTGATGCACGTTACCATAAGCCTAATATAGTACATATATTACCTATACTAGGCCTAGGAATGTAATTTAATATCTGTAATTACTTAAGTGTGATTACCTAAGTGTAGTTACAGGATGAGAGCTACGCTCGTGGTGTCCCGTCTTCCCAGTACTCTTTGTCGTATAACGCTTTGAAACTACTGGATGTCTCTTATGTGTGTTTGCGCGCCATTTTTTCATTGCTTTAGATTTATTACACATTCATTTCATTCTTAGAATGTTCTGTACTTCTTTTGCTCTTTGATTTTGGATCTAATTGTACGCTTTATTTGCATGGGAAA